TTATATGTATTTGGTGTAAATTTTGATATTGGATTATTGTTTTATAGGTCAAAAAAGAAATAAATGCTATGGAAGACCTTGATGAACCACAGCCAACTGTAATAGCCTCAACAGCTTTTCAAGTGACGTGCCCAAATTATAAGGATATTTGGGCATATGTTGAAAAACCAAGCAGGTCATATGAAGGTAGAACCTTTGCATAATGTTGTATACTATAGTAATAGATGCACACATTACTTAGCACTGAACCCTAGAACACTGATGTGTTCCACTATTGTTCATTTCAGAAAGGTGCTTTGCATTAAAATATAATGAGAAGTGTGATACACTCTCAAGTACACCCCTGGATAATCCCCACTGCACTTTTCTTTGTGAATGGCACCCACTCTTTTTGTTGGCTCTGTTGCTCCCTTGGGCCTGAAGGATGATCAGATCAGCTTACCATTATCTCTCCCTGTATTCTGTTGTAACCTTAGATCTCCTTTCCCTGCTACACACTTCCTAAAACTGTGTTCTTCTCTGCAACCAAATCATACTTTTTAAAAATTCAGTTCTGATATTGCTTACCCCTTCCTTAAAACCCAAGTACTACTTCTCTTTGCTATAAGATTAAAGACCTCAAGCCTCTAGCTTTCTCCTGTGTCTGGATCCCAATCACTAAAGTGTTTCTTCTTACAATACAGATTTTTGTTTTCAAAAGATTTAATGAGGCATTATTGACATAAGGTAAACTGCACATATAAAAATATGCAACTTGACAAGTTTTGACCTCTATATTAAACACATGTTGAATCACCATAATTCAGATAGTTAAGAAATCCTGTAAAAGTCTTCACATGTCCCTTTATATGCCCTTAATAAGATACTGCCAAATTATTTTTCAACATATTTGTACCATTTCCATGCTCATCAACATGGATTATTGGGGTGGTAATCATAGTCAAGTAGGTGTGCTTGGAGAAGGTAGGCCACTTGGGGACTCCCTGTTGAGTGGCTCTGTCACTGCTTCCTGGTGGGTGGCCATGTTCTGAACTACTTTCCTTTACCAAGTCTTTCTGCCATGATGTTCTGCCTCACCTTGGGTCCAGAGCTGTGGAATCAGCTGGGTATGGACTGTGACTTCTGAAACCCTGAGCCCCAAATACATTTTCCCTTCTCTACATTGTTCAGGTCACTTTGTGTCACAGTGAGAAAAGCTAAGAAAAACAATTCCCAGGCATTTTAATTTTTTTAATTTTAGTGGGATAGTTTTCATGATTTCTTTCTTAGAATTATGTTTTGTGTACAGAAAAGCTGTTGATTAATGATTGTTGATCTTGTTATCAGCTCTAGAAGTCCTCTGGTGGAGTTTTTTTGGGTTTTCTACATATAGGATGATGTCAATAACAAAAAGTTAATTTGAATTCTTCTTTTCCTATTAATAGCCCTGTAATGTCCTTCTCTTGCCTGATTTTCTGCCTTAGTTTCAAAAAGTATATAGAATAGGATTGATAAAATTATACATATTTTCTTTGATACTGATTTTAGAGAAAATGCTTTCCATTTTTTCTACAGTATAATGTTGGCTTTGGTTTTGAGATTTATGATCTTTATAATGTTGTAGTAAGTTTTCTCTAAGCCTAGTTTCTCTAACATTTTTAATATGAATAGGTGCTAAATTTTATCAAAGCCTTTTCTGCATCTGTTGAGATATTCATATGACTCTTATCCTTCATTCTATTTGTGTGATGAATTACATTTATTGATTTGCCTATGTTGAACCAACCTTACATTCCTGGGATAAAAGCAACTTTTTCATGGTATGTTAACTTCTTGATGTGTTTTTGAATGTTGTTTGCTAATATTTCATTAAGAATTTTTACATGTATTTTCATCAGGGATATTGTTCTGTAATTTTTTTCCTGAATATGTCAGGATTATACTGGCTCCATAGATATTTGGGAGTATTCCCTTTCCCTTTAAGTTTTGTAAAAGAGGCTGACAAAGATTGGTGTTAGTTCTTCACTAAAGGTCTTTTAGAACTCAGCCAGGATTCTATCTGGTCCTGGATATTTCTTTGTTGAAAGACTATTCATTGCTGTTTCAATTTCATTACTTTATATTGATCTGTTTTGGGTTCTGATGTCTTCCTGGTGTAATTTTGGCAGCTCATATATGTCTAGAAATTTGTCAAGGTTTCTAGATCTT